TGAAGCAGTTGAGTCCCTGCCAGCCCTGTGGGAGACCCAGAGTGAGTTCCAGGTTCCTGACTTTGACCTGGCTCACTCCTGACTGTTACGGGTATTAAGGGAGTGAACCAGCAAGTGGGAGAGAGAGAGAGAGAGAGAGTGTGTGTGTGTCTGTGTGATTTATTTATTTAGTTGTTTGAAAGACACAAAGTGAGAGCTCCCACCTGCTGTCCACTTCCCAGATGACTTCTATAGCTGATTCTGGGGACAGGCCAAACCCAGAGCCAGGACTCACTCTGGACCTCCCACATGGATAACAAGACTCAAATACTTGTGTCTTTACCTCTATCTCCCAAGCTATTAACAGAGAGTTGTGATCAGGATGGAGCCAGGACTCAAATACAGGCAACCCAGCATGGATTCTGGGTCTAATAACTGCTGTGCCAAACTCTTGCCCAAGTAATTATCTTAAAGATTTATTTGTTTGGAAAGGCAGATATACAGAGAGATAGACAGAAAGGAGGAGAGACAAAGAGAAGTATCTTCTATTCGATGATTCACTCCTCAAGTGACAGCAACAGCTGGAGCTGAGCCAATCTGAAGCCAGGAGCCAGGAGCTTCTTCCACGTCTCCCACGTGGGTGCAGGGTTCCAAGTCTTTGGGCTGTCCTTAACTGCTTTTCCAGGCCACAAGGACGGGGAGCTGGATGAGAAGCAGGATTAGAACCAATGCCCATATGGGATCCTGGCATGTGCAAGGAGAGGACTTTAGCCACTACACTTTCGTACTGGGCTCCTGAGTAATTATTTTAAAAGACATACAGAATGAGCCAGTGTTGTGGTGTAATGGATTCAGACACCACCTGCAATGCCACCATCCCATGTGAGTGTCAGCTAGAGTCCATACTCCTCTGCTCCTATTTGCCAGTGTGCCCAGAAAGCAACAGAGGATGGCCCAAACTCTTGGGGCACCTCATGCACCTAGGAGAAATGGGGAGAGCCCCTGGTTCCTGGCTTCAGTTCTTCCCAGCCCTGGCCATTGTAGCCATCTGGGAAGTGAGCCACCAGATGATTCATTCTCTCTCTCTCTCTCTCTGTTTCTCTCTCTCTCTCTCTCTCTCTCTCTCTCTCTCTCCGTGTGTGTGTGTCTGTGTCTAAGTCTGCCTTTCAAATAAATAAATATTTTCTTTAAAAACTATCACTTTCATTAATTTTTTTAAAAAACCATTAGGAATGCCGTATTGTTTGTTTCTAGATGGGAAGATTAGGTGACTGAAGGACAAACAATAGCAGTAAGTTTTTCAGTTTGTGCTGTTTTGAGTGCCATGTGCATATGTTATCTGTATTTAAAATAAATACGTGTTTTTCAGACTGGGAATGTTGAGACAGTAGTTCCTCCAACTGACAGCCAGCTACTTCTTGTAGGATGCTTTTTCCCCTTCTATATTTTCTCCAACTTTGCAATGCAGTTTTCCTCAGTTAAATGCATTTCGGGCATAGACTGGTGATAGTAACTTATTTAAGCAGAATGCTCTTCCCACTTCTCTGAAACCCTACTTGCCTCTTTTGATTAGGGAAACTCAACATTTGAAAGATGTTTCTACCCACTGGTCTTACTTTTTCTGGGCACCAGAGTTGCTAAGCCATGTGAGTGATTTAAGGAACATGGTGAATTTTGTCTTGGATACTTAGCAAAGTGGTCACCTTACAGAAGTTTCTGTCATTATGTAATCACTAGAAAGACATTGGTTTTTGTTGCTGTCAGCTCTGATTATCTGTAAGTGATCCTGAGGTCTATACTATTATTAATAGAAATTAATCTGTTTTCTGGGCCTGAGCAGTGTTTTATCTTGACATCAGTATATTGTTTGTATCTATATTGTGTTGCTTTATATCCTCCTGTGGGAAAAAAAATGCATCTACTCAATAAATAATAGTGGTGCACAGAAACAGGACTGAAAAGGATGCAAGAAGAAAACAAGAATGTCAGAATTAAGAGAGGGAGCCTACCCGTCCTTCTGCAAACAGTGAAAATCCCCCACCTTGAGCCCACAGTCACTGTGAGGGTCATGAATCAGCACCTCACTTCATTAAACTGAAGGCTTCACTTTCTACTTCCACGAGTCACCTTTTTGTTCACTTGCTATAAAAAGATCAACTTGTGGCCTCAAGCTTTTTGCTGTGGCATTGAGATAGTAGTATTTCAGCAGAATTAATGCCATATGGGAAAAACAAATTTGCTTTTGTGTAAGTATAAAATCAGATGCTCAAAACAGATGAGAAACTTGATGTCATGGCGGGAGCAGATGCCTTGGGGTTGAGCAGTCTCGAGTCTGAATTTCATCCCTCTGCTGAAGAGCGGCAGAGATCTGGTTGAATCTGAGTCTTTATGAGCTTTCATTTCCTCAGCTGTATTGGGCCTGATGATTCTGAACTTGGTTAGTTGTTAGGAGAACTAAATGGCACAAATGCCAAATATGGAATATCTTCAGCTCATAAATGTTCAATAAATAGGAACAGACATTCTGACATTAAAAAATAAGGCCCAGGGAAATGGCCTGGTGGCTGAAGTCCTCACCTTGCATGTAGTGGGATGCCCTGTGAGCACCAGTTCATGTCCTGGCTGCTCTACTTATGAAAGCATTTGGGGATGGCCCAAAGCCTTGCGACCCTGCACCTGTGTGGGAGACCTGGAAGAAGCTCCTGGCTCCTCTCATCAGCTAACTCCACCTATTGCAGCCGCTAAGGGATGAACCAATGGATGGAAAATCTTTCTCTGTTTCTCTTCTCCCTGTAAACCGCATTTTTCAATAAAAAAAAAATAAATCTTTAAAAAATAACATTTAATCACACCCTTACAGTGTGCTGCAGATGAGATTGTACAGGTCCTGTAAATACTGAGGCCTGGAAGTGTTAGCTCAGGGCGGCTGTGGGGCTCAGATGCAGACAGTCTGACTGCAGGGGTCTTCCCTTAGCCATTGCCTTTTGTGACCCCTCCTTGGAGTAATCCAGCAGTCTACCTGCAGGGAGGATGAGAAGATCGATCTAGGAATAGAAATCACTGATACTGGAGATGATATTTCTAGGTGGAGGAGTGTTATTTACATGTGCAGGGGCAGGAAGGGCTGAGAGGGAAGAAGTCATCCGGAGCTGCAGTTTTACTTAAATAGCTTTAGAGTTTAAAAGTTAAGAAGCCATCAAATAAGGGGTTAGAAATCATGCATGGAGTGGCTACTGAATGTGACGGTTAAGACACCAATTAAGATGCCCACTTCCCTTATTAGAGTACGTAGATTCAAATCCAGGCTCCAGCTCCAAATTCTACCTGCCTGATAATGGAAACTCTAAGGGTAGCCATTATTAGCTCAAGTGCTGGATGCAAGACCTGGATTTGGGGGCTAGCGATTTTGGGTTCCTACCCGAATTGTTGCAGACATCTGGGGAGTGAATGGGAAATGCATTCATTCTCTCTAAATCCAAAGCCTGTTGCATGGACCTAGGGCTGCTTTCAAGGATGGGATCCATCGTGGTCTGTAGCTCCACCCCTCTCTCCCGCAAGCCTTGCCTGCAGGTCTAACAACCTGTGTGTGTCGAGTGGAGCTTGCAAGTCCCTATGTGGTACAGGTGTAACTCCTCTATGTGGAGTCTTAGCTCTTTGTTTTGCATTGAATGTTCTTGCCCTCACTCTTCGGTCCTCTGAGACGCCTGGTGTAATTCACTAAGCACTTCTTTTTCGTAGCCTCACTTCTATTAAAAGCAGGAGGAGCCATCCATGGCCTCTGGTTGCTTTGACAGCACACAACAATCCCCAAGGCAAGGAATTTCTTTTCTTTTCTTTTAAAGATGTATTTATTTTTATTGGAAGGGCAGATTTCCAGAGAGAAGGAGAGACAGAGTATAAGATCTTCTATCTGCTGATTCACTTCCCAGTGGCCACAACAGCCAGAGCTGAGCCGATCTGAAGCCAGTTGTCTGGAGCCTCCTCCAGGTCTTCCTTACAAGTGCAGGGTCCCAAAGCCTTGGACCATCCTCTGTTGCTCTCCAGGCCACAAGCAAGGAGCTGGATGGGAAGTGGAGCGCATGGGACATGAACCAACAACCATATGGGATCCTGGCGTGTGCACGGCGAGGATTTAGCCACTGAGCCATCATGCTGGGCACAAGGCAAGGGATTTCCAAGCTTGACTTCTTGCTAAGAAGAGGAAGAGAGGAAAATGGTGTGAACAAGTTCAGAGTTCTATTAGAGAAATCTCACTGGCTAAGTGTGCGTTTGGATTTATAGATGGGAGTTAGCCATTAGTGACAATTTCTTCAGATGGGAGGTGATCTCTCAAACACCTTGTGCTGTTGCCTGACTCCTTCACATTAGTAATGTTATTTTATTTAAAAAATGTTTAAGGTTATTATTTTGGAAAGATACAGATTATTGTTCTATTCATTAATGTGAAATATTTTCTCCAACAAAGCTTACTTCCTGTCAGTCTCAGTGTCCTAATTTTCTGACTTGGAATTCTTGAGTTCGGCAGTGTCACGTTAGTGCCCGAGCTGACATGATGGTGGTCAAGTCCACAGCCATCTTACTCCTGCGTGGGATTCTTTCTTCCCGTGCTCCATGCTATGTCCTCCAGGGCTCGTTCGTTCTCTTTCATTGCCCAAGTAATGATGTTTGGCAAACCCCTTTCATCAGGCCACACATTTATACCAAATCCTTGAATACCAATAAATAGCTGTTTAAAGCCATGTTTCAAAATATGCCATAAAATATAAATGAGAATGACACATAGTTCATTTCAGGTTCATGCGTGGTATCAGTATACAGGATTAGCAGTAAGACATGTAGAAGTTTAACGTGAGTCATAAGAGAATTTAATTATGTCTCTGAATATTGCATAGCCTTGTATCTTGTTTATATTAGGTAAGATATATCATTATTAACAATTATAGGTTGCTATCTGTGGTTTGATTACCAAGGGAGCATTTGTGATTCTTGAAAGTTAATAAGAACTTATATTTTATTTCTAGAATGCAATAGTTATACATGAAGTCTATGAAGAAGGAGCAGCAGCCAGAGATAGGAGGCTTTGGGCTGGTGACCAGATACTGGAGGTATGTGATTTTAACTGCAACGCCAGTAAGTCTGATTCCTTTCTTGATGCTGAGCCATCAAGTCAATTTTTCATCTTCTACTGAGTTCTGTCCTCATTGATTTCTTTTTTAACAATCTGCTGTATTCCTTTTTTTTTCCTCCAATATACATTCAACAACGTACTGACTTAGAATCATGGCAGACTGTTACTCTAAGCCTGTCCATGAAAAGTTTTTTTTTAATTATAAAATACGGCTTGTGCTTATTTAAATTTAATATCAAGGGCCCAGCACGATGAGCTAGTGTCCTCGCCTTGCATGCGCCAGAATCCCTCATGGGTGTTGGTTCATGTCCCGTACACTTCACTTCTTGTACATTCCCTGCTTCTGGACTGGGAAAACAGCTAAAGCCTTGAGACCCTGCACCACCTGAGAGATCCAGAAGAAGCTCCTGGCTCCTGGCTTTGGATCAGCTCAGCTCCGGCTGTTGCGGCCACTTGGGGACTAAATCAGAATACGGAAGATCTTCCTCTCTATCTTTCCTCCTCTCTGTATATCTGACTTTGCAATAAAAATAAATCTTTTAAAAAAAAAAGCATGTATATATAGGGCAAGTATTTGGCAGTTGAATTGTCATATTAGATACCTCTGTTCTGTATCGTAGTGCTTGGTTTAAGCACTGGCCTCTCCACTTCCAGTCTGGCTTCCTGCTGATGTGAACCCTGGGAGGCAGCGACTAATTGCCAAGTCCAGCTCCAGCTGAGTTCGGAGCTCGAGAAGGGTGCGTGGAGTCTGCGATAAAGAAAGACACAGACATTGTCACTTGGTGCCTTCTTGCTGCTCTTTTGTTCAAGAAGCTGTCCTTTTTATTTACTTAGACACATCTCAAGCTTCTGCACAAACATTTGGTTTTTTTATCTTTAACTTTAGGACTCTAAAGACAGCATGCACAGATGTTCAATTAATTTTTACTTCATGGTCAACCAGGTGCTCTTAAAGATAATTCTGTAATTTACTATAATCAATTTCTTTAAAGCAAGCCGGTATTCATTCTTCAGAAGTAGCCATTAGGTGACAGCCAGAACTCCAAGGCCAAGGCACAGATGATTTCCTACTAATTAGTAAAACATTCCTACTACATTTTATTTTCACAACTTTATCTATCACTTAATGGGAGAAATACATTAAAAGAGAAAAAGCATAAGGATCTAAGACAAAACGTTTCAAACATTAAATTCCCCCACAACTGCAGACTCTACAGCCTCATAAACATCAAATAAAAATCAAAAGTATATCTCTATGATGTTAATAGAATCGTCCTATATTTCCTCTACTTAAAAAATTGTGAAAGTGGCTAAAACAGCTACATTTTCTATGCTCTAAAGAGTTGCAAGGACAGGCTAACCTTTAAGGTCACAGTAACTATATTTTTTGCCATAGCAGTTTTCACTCATACTCCCATCACTTGCATTAGTTTATAAAATTCTTATTAAGCCATTTCCCAGGAGGCATGCTATATGTCTGAGCCTGATTTTAGGACAATGGGTAGGCACACATTAAGGTGTCCAGAAATGGCATGGGTTTAATTGTACTCCTGTGGGCAGTTAAAGGCCCACTCACCAAGACATTATCAATAACATTAACTCTCAAGCTCACATTGGTTGCAAAAACCATCTCACAGGGGCAAACAACAATGCCTCAATAGATAACAGAATTCTTAGTGCGGTGCTTGAGTGTCCATGCAGCCAGGGGGTGAAACAGCGTCAAGGTGGTCAGAGAGACATCCCCCGGGCCTTGCCTAACAGCTGGACACTTCCCCCCCGACCCCCCGGGCCTTGCCACATAGGGGAGCTGTTCTCTTCACATCCTTGCATCATCCACACCCACTGCATGGACCCCAGCAGCTAATGGCTCAGGTTCCTGCCACCAACATAAGAAACTCAGATTGAATTCTGGATTCCTGGCTTTGTGGTCTAGTCCTGACTATTGTGGGCATTTAGAAAGTAGGCCAGCAGATGGATGCTCTCTATGAGTGTGCATCTCTGCTTCTCAAATTACAAAAAAGAAAGAAAGATAAAAGAAAAAATGGAAGGAAGAGTAAGAAAACAAGCAGGTAAGCAAACAAGCAAGCTTTAGAGGCTGGTGTTGTGACATACCAAGTGAAGCCACCACCTTCAATGTAGGCATGCATATGAGTGTCACTTAAAAGCCTAGCTGCTCTGCTTGTGATCCAGATCCACCCATGCTGATGACCTGGGAAACCAGTGGAGGATGATTCCAAGTGTTTGGGCCCTGCCATCCATGTAAGAGACTCAGATGGACTTCCTGCCTCTGGTTTAGCCTGTTTCACCTCCAGTCATTATACAGTCTAGGGAAGAGAACCAGCCAATGGAAGATCTTTCTGTCTCTCCCTCTCTGTGTAACTCTTTAAAATACGTAAATAAATCCTTTAAAACATCGCTTTTCAATAAAGCACATGCATATAGACACAAATACTTTGCAGGCCTTATTATAGCTTAAATACTATTTGCTTAGTCCCAGTAATTCTGCGTGGTAGATGGAGCTCATGCCTTACCCCAGTGCTTTCAGGCACATAAGAATGGAGACCTCTGGTCCTTCTAGTCCAAACGGTATGTGGTGCTTATTAAAAACCGAAATGCTTGACTTGACTCTTCCAAATTGACTCTTACTTTAGCACAGTTGTTAAAGACTTTCAGAAAGTACAGGGCAGGCACTATCTGAACCAGGGAATGGATGAACAAGAAGCCAGTGCCAGGCGTTCAGGTAGGTGAAACTAAAGAGCGTGTTCCATGGTGCGAAACCTTTAGGCAACATTTGCTTCTTTAATTGCATGAATTTAATTGAATAGACCAGCATTTTATGGTGAATATGTGCATTTTTGCATTGCAGCTTTAATAGAGCACATTGCAAATGACATCATCGACTTTTATTTTTCCTTTTGGTGGCTCCTTTCTGCCTCACAAGATGAAAATAGAGATATAATTAAGGGCAGAAAGCATAGGTGAGAAGGGGTTAAAGGAGAGGTTAGGCTGACTGCAAATTAAATCTGACCGAGTTGTAGGGTTTCTCTGAAGGTCTGTACTGTGTGTGTTGGATGAGGACATGTTCCCAGGGCATTCATTAAGGTGTGAGTATGTGAGGTTACACAAATAAGCAAAGCCTCTTTGGGAAATGGCTCTACTTCTTTAGGACACAGCTAGGTTTTTAGTCATGATGGATTTTGGAGACTTTTTTTTTTTAATTTTTTTTTTTTTAATTGTTGCTTACATTGTATTATGTGATACAGTTTTATAGGCGCTGGGGATTCCCCCCACCCCTCCCATACCCCTCCCCCCATGGTGGATTCCTCCACCTTGTTGCATAACCATAGTTCAAGTTCAGTTGAGATTCATTGCTTGCAAACACATGCCTAGCATAAAGTTCAGTGTCTTATTGTCCAGATAAGTTCAGTGGCCTCTTGGGGAGACCTTCTATGGTCTGAAGATAGGTCTAACAGAGTAAAGATCCGGTCAGTTAAAAGCCCCAACAACCCAGATGTTTCGAAGAATGGAACTTGCATTATTTTTAACATATTGTTTACCCAATACTATGTCAATTAATTCCATAATGTTGTATATTGATACTGAGGCCTTGTTGGGGCTTTTAACTGACCGGATTTTGGAGACTTTTAAAAATTTTTTGTTTTTCAGTCCCTAGATTTTCTGGTCAACTGGTATTATAATTGACATTTTAGGCAAATTAACTGGCTAAAATTATAGCACAGATCAAATGTTAAAATGATTTAGATTATGTATTTAAGGTCATAAAGATTAAGAATTTTTTAAAATATGCCTTTATACTTATGAATTGTAAGACCACACATTATTCTGTAATAATGACTTATAACTGAATGTATGATGTTTCAATGTGGCAGGTATAAAATACACACATGGCAGGTATAAATACACATGTGTCTAAGACTATGCGTAGTTTACTTTAGTTTATAACAGTTATTCCTCAATAAAAGAATTTTATTTTAGCGACTTGTATTGTCTAGACCTTCAGCTATAGCTGCTTTCTTCTAAACAGTGTATTCAGCAAGTGGTGAATGCGCAGGGAAGATCATTGAAAGCAGCTTTATTTTTTTTTATAATCTTACATAGTTGATTAGGGTACAAAGGGTCAAGAGCTACAGGAAAATGGGTAAGACCATTGTTTCCACACCAACATCATCATTTTTCCACTTGTATCTGGGGTCAGGGGAGAAACAAAGGGAGAAGTCCCACCCAACTTCCCACCCATCCCAGGTCCCTGATGTGGGGCATGCTCCGAAGGTCCTGCTCAAGCAGTTTTGATAGTTCAGATGTTCTGAATTGCTGCCAGTCTCGCCATTCCAAGCACGATGAAATCTCTCCAGAATCCACTGGCTGACACAATCCACCTTAGAGTCTCCGTTTGCCCAGATTTTCACTCCCAACACGTGGCTGCGATAAATGATTGATCTGTTATGTCCTCCGTCCTCTGTTGTGGTACCAGGTGTCCTCTGCAGGTTCCGATGGTCTGCCATAGCCTCCATGTGCACGTGGGTATGCTGTCCACTGCTCCGTCTGAGCCTCTGAGGAGGCTCAGCTTTGACACATGCACTCCATGGTCAGACCATGGAACCTGCACTTCTCTTCGTGGTTGGGTTTCTTGTTGATTCCATGAAGTTCACAGTTATGTAAAATTGTTGCAATCAGGAATGTCAACCCTCCGTCTGGTCACCTCTTTTGTATTGAAAGCAGCTCACACTGCCGGCGCTCACTGCTGGGAAGGTCTGGAGGTTTTCCCTGGTTGGATCTAGGAGCTCCAGCAAACTGAGCGAGCAGAGAGGGTCGTGCCGCTCACAGTACATTTCAGGACACCCACTGTTCCAGGTTAATGGCGTGGACCTGCGGAACTCCAGCCATGAAGAAGCCATCACAGCTCTGAGGCAGACGCCGCAGAAGGTGCGCCTGGTGGTGTACAGAGATGAGGCCCACTACAAGGATGAGGAAAACCTGGACATCTTCCCAGTGGATCTGCAGAAGAAAGCAGGCCGTGGCCTGGGCCTGAGCATCGTGGGGAAACGGTAAGAACACGCTTCACCGGTCAGGATAGGTCTTTTCCTTCCGTGAAGCTGAATGCAAACTGGGGACACAGTTTCAAAAGCTGAGACACAGATGTTTGAGCAGTGTAGGTCATATTTGCAAGCAGTGGATTACTACAAGAAAAATCCTGTCACATTCATGTAAAACTTTAAGCTAAATCAGCCTAGCCTGTTGTATTTCCTTGTAAAATAAGAACAGTAGCAAGTTCTCTCAAATTGAAATTACCTAGATGTATGGCTTACATTTAGACAAAAACATCCAAGAAACACTACTATCAAGGCGTATGTATGCTTGCACAATGTTGGGTTAAGAAAATTTGTTCTAGGGCCCGGCGCGGTGCCTAGAAGCTGAAGTCCTCAACTTGAATGGGCCAGGATCCCATATGGGCACCAGTTCTAATCTTGGAAGCCATGCTTCCTATCCAGCTCCCTACTTGTGGCCTGGGAAAGCAGTCTCGGATGGCCCAAGACCTTGGGACCCTGCACACACCTGGGAGACTTAGAAGAGGCTCTGGGCTCTTGGCTCCAGATCGGCATAGCACCAGCCTTTGCAGCCACTTGGGGAGAGAATCATCAGACGGAAGATCTTCGTCTCTATCTCTCCTCCTCTCTGTATATCTGACTTTGCATTAAAAATAAGTAAATCTTTAAAAAAAAATTTTTTTTTTTCCTCTGGGGGACAGATATTTGGCCTGGGATACCCACCCCGCACACAGAAGCACTGGTTCTAGCTCAGCTCCCCTTCCAATTCTGCTCTCCAGTGTGTAGCCTGGGAGGCTGCGCTTTCTGGCTCAAGTGTTTGAGTCCCTGTGACTCGTGGGAATCCCAGATTGAAAAACTAGCTTCTGCTTCCAGCTTAGTTCTACCTTTTGTGGACATTTGGAGAGCTAACCAACACAGGGAAGCTCTGTCTGTATCTGTCCCTCTGTCTCTCTTGCTTTTAGATAAAATAAAACCCAATAAAAAAGAATTGCTTTTTAATCTAAAAGCAAAAGGGAAACTGCTCAGGCATGGAATACATTAATTTTGTTAATTTTGTACTGTGTTAAAACCCATTGAGGAGACATGGTTGAGAAATAAATATATGCTCTTTCTCTTAGAAAATATTTGTTTGCATCAAACAATTGTTCATCTATAACTCTACCTTTAAAATATATAAAATAAAATGTTAAAAATTAAAAAAAAATTGAAGCCGAAAAATAAAAATGTGACCAAAAATAAATTATATGCTAGTATTGAAGCTAATATCTTTTTTTTAAAAGATTTATTTTATTTTTATCAGAAAGTCAGATGAGGAGGAGAGACAGAGAGGAAGATCTTCTGTCCATTGAATCACTCCGCAAGTGGCTGCAACAGCCAGGGCTGTGCCAATCATTCAAATCCAGGAGCCCGGAGCCTCTTCCAGGTTTCCCAGGTGGGTACAGGGTCCCAAGGCTTTGGTCATCCTCAACTGCTTTCCCAGGCCACAGGCAGGGAGCTGGATGGGAAGCAGGGCCACCAGGACACGAACCGGAGCCCATATAGGCTCCTGAGAATATAATACGAGGACTTTAGCCACCAGGCTGCTACACCAGTCTCAAAACTAATCTTATATTTTAATTTTTTTTTTTTTTTTGAAAAGTAGGTTTACAAAGCGAAGGAGATACAGAGAGAAAGATCTTCCATCTGCTGGTTTACTCCCCAAATGCTTGCAATAATGGCTGAAGCTAAGTTGATCTGGAGCCAGGAGCCAAGAGCCTCTTCTGGGTCTCTCAAGGCTTTGGGCCATCTTCCACTGCTTTCCTAAGCCACAAGCAGAGAGCTGGAAGGGAAGTGGAACAGCCAGGACACGAATTGGTGCACCTATTTGATGTTGGTGCTTACACACGAAGGATTAACCAGTTGAGCCATTGCTTTGGCTCCAAAACTAATCTTCTCTAAGAAAATAATGTATACATTTTAAGAATATGTCACTCTACTTTTAAAGTGAATTTTCATTTCACTCCACTAAAATGATACCTTGCAGAAATCATGGCCGTAGGCCCATGAAAATTAATATTACAACAGGTGACATCAATAAGCATGAATACTTAACCAGTGATCTAATGGCTTTATAGGGCTCTGCTCCTGGTTTTAGGGTTTGGTGAATGCATATGGAAAATTAGGGATTTAAGATTTTGTTTAAGAAATATTAAGTTGTAAGACGTGTTAGCAGATTAAACCAGAGCCAGCAATGCCAGTATCCGATATGGGCACCAGTTTGAGACTTTCCAGTTGAGCTCTCTGTTAATGCTCTATGGAGAGCAGCAGAAGGTGCCTGAGGCATTTGAGCCTCTGCTCTCACATGGGAGACCAGATGGAATTCCAGGCTGCTGGCTTTAGCCTGGCCCAGCCCTGGCTGTTACAGCTATTGAAGGAGTGAACCAACAGAAGGAACATATCCCGCCCTCTGTAACTCTGCCTTTCAAATAAATAAGTAAATCATTAAAGAAATATTAGGTTGATGCCAAACCTTCCTCTGTATTAATAGAAGTGGAAGTGGAGTGTTTATTTCTGACATCGTGAAGGGAGGAGCTGCGGACCTGGACGGGAGATTGATTCGGGGAGATCAGATCTTATCTGTGAATGGGGATGACATGAGGAACGCCTCTCAGGAGACTGTGGCCACCATCCTCAAGGTGAGTGTCAGGGTGGCCCTGTGCCCAGACAGCAGAGCCACACCTGCCCCGGAGCTCTTCCAGCCTAGCTTGGTTACTGATGGGTGGGTTTGATGCTGACACTGCTTGTTACTAGCAATCTGATCTCTGATGATTCCGAGTGATCAGGATTCACATTAAAAGAAATCTGTTCGATTGGCTGACAAAAGGGAAGCTTCTGTGGAATTTCTAAGCTAGTTTGGCATCCTTGTGAGAATTCCAAGTCAGAACAATTGTCCTCAATGCATTTGATGGGATGGGCTCTCCCGGCGTGACCAGATTCCTGTTGCTGCTTCACGGGACAGGTCAGGGAGCACGCTCTCGGGTTCATCAAATGTAGCTCTGACAACTGGAAAGAATGCTTAGTATCATCCAGCTTGGTTCCTGCTTACACACTTGAAGTAGGAACCATAGAATGACAGCCCAAGATTACAGTGCTCTGATTAAGTGATTTTCCCACCGACCAAGCTGTGCCTCCCTGAAATTGCAGCCACGTTGGAGTTCAAAATGCACTCCTAAGTGGTTCTGCTATACTTTGAAGAAACCTGTTCATGGAACTTGTAAATTTCCATCCCACTCACACCAGAGCTGTTGTGCGTTTCACAGCCATGAACACTTTGCAAAGACAAATGAAATCTGTTTTAAAATTGGTAGCCTCTTGTCAGAGCCAGCTTCCAATGCCCACCCAGGCGAGGAACTGTGTTTGTAGGTCACTTCTGTGGTTTTGATTTGCTTTGTCCTCTCCTTCGCTGCTTTTTTCTTAGTGGTTTTGTGGTCCATGAGTGTTTTTTCATCAGAAGGGAGAAAAGAAGTACATTGAATGCTAATCCTTCGAACCCACTTTAGAGAAGTCGTGAGACAAAGGTGGCTGAGTGCATTTCTGTCATTTTGCTTGGATGTGGGGATGGCTGCATCTCCTTTTTGCCTTTTGCCTTCACTCCCTTTTGTAGCTGTTGGCTGCAGAGGGGAGGAGGGGAGGCTGGGCTGTGCGATGTTACGACGTCAATGCACCTGTTTTTCATTTCTGTTCTGTTCTTGTCCTCCAAGTGTGCACAGGGGCTTGTGCAGCTAGAGATCGGAAGACTCCGAGCTGGGTCCTGGGCCTCCTCGAGGAAGACCTCGCACAACAGTCAGGTTGTTGATGGCTTCCCAGCGGACTGGCTCTCGCCTGCCCCCGCTGGGAGAACACGCCCCATTTCACAAACGGTTATTTGGAAATAATGTCTGACCTGAGGCACACTCACAACACCGAGTTCAGTCTGTTTCCATGTGTTTGAAATGAAAAGGAAAGGTGGGGTGGCAATTCATTAATCCTTAGGTTTTCTCTCCTCTGTTGTCCACAAATGTTTTCTTAAAACGCCTTTTCTTTGCTACTCTCTTGCCTTCGCACACATGTACACAGCTGTGTTTATTTTTTTTTTAAAAGAGACAGGCAACATCTGGTGGCAATTTGACCCTCATTAGCACAACATTGTTCTCGTCATCCAATTAAATATTGCTATAAAGTTAACCTGTGAATAGCCACTCACATATGCTGAGGGCAATTAGTGGATCTTCCTAGGAGATCCACGGAAGTGGAATGGGAGTTCTCCCTCTGGGAAGGCAGCCTTCGTGGGTGATATTTTGTGAGTCACCAAGCATCCTGTTTATTCTCAAGGCTGATGTAAGCACCACATTTTTCTATTTAACACCTAAGCATGTTCCTCTGTGTTGTTTTTTATTGCAATGACTGACAAAATCAAGACAGCAGTCTCTTTAGCCGTATTTAATACATCGTGCCAGTGTAGAGACTTGGACCTGACCCCCTGGTCTCCTCCATGAGTTCTAGCTGGGCCTCTGTCTTTTTGATCTCCTACCTGGTTGGTTGCCTTGGACATAAAGCCTCTTCCAGGCCTTTGTTCAGGGAATGTTCTGGGCTTATGGTGAGCACACAGGTACATCTAGGAATCTATTAGCTGCCTCTGCCTCACAGGTGTTAGAGAAGGGAGACGGGGAGACCATTGTATAGACAGCTCACTTACCTCAGGAAATCCTCAAAGCAGTCACCCCCAGTAAGCACCATGGTACATTCAGGACTTTTCTCCCCTGCCCACGGGGCCTGTGTGATGGGTGACAAATGTCATGCCTACCAAGAAACAGTGCCGCCGTAGGCGTCGGTGAGCCAGTGGCCATTGATGTTTCTGGACTGGGGGCACTGGAGGTGCCCCGCAATTCTCACAGACAGGCTCTTCCTTCCTGGAAGGTTCAGACCTGTTGAATGACCTCGTTAACACCTCACTACACTCAGGAGATGAGAAAGAAGGCAAATTGTAGTAGAGATGAAATTCTTCCTCCTGTCAGAGAATGAGAGAACCGAACGGAGGTTCTGCGTCTCCCCTGAAAGGGATCTGATTGCCCAGGAAGAAGCAGCCAGTGGTGGCTGTGCAAAGGCTCCCCGGGGTGAAAGGAGAATCACCTGCCTTAAGGGACGTGTGGACTGACAGGTGCCGTGGAAGGGAACCCAGGGGCATGCATGTGAGCATCATCCGATGAACACACTGTACACGCAGGCCAACTGCAGAGCTAGCAGCCTTAGCAGCTGTCCTCACAGTGGACAGCAGCAAACCATGTGCCAGTATCACAACGTAGGCTATCAATTGTAGAAACCAGAACAACTATTTCCCCCTAACCCTCTTGCACAGAAGTTTTATTTCAGAAAGTATGAAAGTTTACTCAGCATTAAAAAAAAAAAAAAAAAGGTCAGTAAATTTTGACTGATAGGAAGAAGGCTGGCCAACAGTGAAAAGCGAGCATCTTCCATGTTCATGACTTGACAAGCAGCTGTCAAGTCAGGGCCCTCTAAGCAGCCCGCAAGGAGGAAGAAGGTAGCTGCCTTCTTCAGTGCAGGATGAGTAGAGATTGTTGGTTTGAGCCATGGAGAGTAGACTCATTTTGAGACAACTTTTGGCTTTGGGGCCACCAAGACTTCATTTTGGAAATGACTTTTCCCGCCAACCAGAGGGAAGTCTGGCTCCTCTGCCAAGGAAAGCGCATATAGGAAAACACACCTGAGGGATCTTTTCCTTGGGGACTGAGGGAACAATGCCAGCCAAAAACCATATGCCTAAGTTAGGCCTTGGCAAACTGAGATTATAACAAAACAAAACAGAAATTCTAACACATTATACTTTCTTAGCTCGGAGTAGTTCACTGTGGCATGAAGTATTTATGTTATATACTTTCAGGGAAAATGTAAAAGCATCCCTTTAAACATGTCCATTGTGAAGCATATTGTAACTTATCTTTAACTGAACTTTTAAAAGAAACAGAAACTGAGTGAGGTAGATGATTGGACATTTTTGATTTAAAAATTTAACCAAGTTGTAGTGTGGAAACTAAGTGATGTGTAAATGGGCACCACTTACATGATTCTCCAAGCTTTTCTTTGTATTTGAAATTTTCCATTTCTTGCGAATGTTAAAATACTAAGAACAGCTTGCTCATAGTTACGAAAATGGGCTAAATTATTGCCTATTGATAACAGTGGTGTTAGGTGCAGCTTAAAATTTTCATGCAGTTAGGGGGGTAGTCTTGAAATTTTGATTTAAAAGAGTATGTGTTCATTATTGGTGATATTGTTGTTTGCAATAGAAAGGGCTGTAACTCTGGCCTGTGTGATGGCTTAGTTGGCTAATCAATCCTCCATCTGCAAGTGCTGACAACCCACATGAGCAGTGAGTCATGTCCTGGCGGTTGCACTTCCCATCCAGCTCCCTGCTTGTGGCCTGGGAAAGCAGTGGAGGATGGCCCAGGTTCTTGAGACCCTGCACCCGTGTAGGAAACCCTGAGGGGGGTCTTGGCTTTGGCTCAGCTCCAGCTGTTGTAGCCATTTGAGAAATAACCAGCAGATGGAAGATCATGTTCTCTGTGTTTCTTTCTCTCTGTAAATCTGCCTTTCCAATAAATACATCTTTTAAAAAGAGAGAAAGAAAGAAAAGAAACAGGGCCCGGTATGATTGTGTAGTGGTTAAAGTCCTTGCCTTGCATTCCCGGGATCCCATATGGGCACCAGTTCTAATCCCAGCAGCTCTGCTTCCCATCCAGCTCCCTGCTTGTGGCCTGGGAAAGCAGTCAAGAACAGCCCAAAGCCTTGGGACCCTGCACCCACATGGGAGACCTGGAGGAAGAGGCTCCTGGCTTCGGATTGGCTCAGCTCCAGCCATTGCGGCCACTTGGGGAGTGAATCATTGGAAGGAAGATCTTCTCTGTCTCTCCTCCTCTCTGTATATCTGACTTTCCAATAAAAATAAATAAATCTTTGGGGGAAAAAAAAAAAAACAAACAAAAGAAAGAACCCTTACAACGTGTAGACTTCTGGTTGAATAGATGCCAACCATAAAAGACGAGATTACAGACCTCAAATATTTATTTAAATGAGTGAAAGGATAAGCAGTGGAGCTGTAACAGATTGGGCTAAATTGCTATTGACTCAGGAAAGTCTTTGCATAAAAAAGTGCTATGTTCCTGGAACAAATCTTTTCCTCTTTTTTTTTTTTAATTTTTTCCTCTTGATGTTTGCTCTTTTCTACAATTGAGGATTTCACTTGATCATATTTCTGTTGGTCATGAGTTTATTATGTATTTTGCTGAAAATATTCAATACAGTTTGGGTGATAAGGGAATCCTGTTGACCTCATCTCCACGTGACAGTTCATGCCCATTAACAGACCATCTCTCACGGGACAGACTAGCAAAATGTTTTTTCTTTCATGTGAAGCAAGAGAAGCTTACGTTATTGCATGTGTTCTGCCTTGACGATTGAAATCATATACAAAAACTCACACAAGAGTGCTTCCAAAAGATTATGGAAAATGGAATTATTTTGATGTCAAAATAATTTGGAATCTGTGCATCGTTTCATAACACACATTTTCCACAAACTTTTTGAGGACTCTGTGTGACAATGAATGAAATGTCTAAATGGAACCAGGGTGGGGCGCTAAGAGCATGAGGATGGGTAATTCCTGTTCTTTCTTGGCCTCTTCAGAATCTCCTCTAAGATGGCTTGGGTGATGGCAGTGGCTGGAATACTAATGAACAGGAGGAGTGTTGAAGGCCAAGTCGGTGTCTGTGCTGTGACCACTCTGCTTCCCTTCCAGGGTGAGCACAGCGGCAGCCGGCCTTCACTGGCTCCTGTCATCAGCGGCCTGCAAAACCTGGTCAGCACAAAACGGTCTTCAGAGGCATCCCAGAAAAGCTCAGGTATGAGGGCGACAACCCCCGCCAGCAAACCATCCTATTGCCCAGTTTTTGTAATATTATCATTTTCATCAAAAATCTTCTCAAGTTTAATCAGAATGTTTATCCATATTTGAAATTGGCCACATAAGCCACAGCTTTCTGGAAGATGTGTTCTGTGGGAAGTGGTACTAAACTTCAGAATGGACCTTTCATGGTGCATGGATCACATGAAATATGTGATTTAGCAGCAGGCTAAAATGCATCATAAAGGAAATGCATTCACAAAGAGAAAACTAATCAATTACTGGTCAGCCAGAGATGAGCCATGCCCGTGACCTTGGGGAGTGAGGCAGGGTGAGGGTTCTTTTATGAGTCTTACTGGTTGGAGGGTTACCCCCGATGAAGGCAGTAAAAGGCACAGTGAAACGCAAAGGGCTCATCCTGTAGGCTGTGAGTCACCCTGCTCCAAGCTGCTGTGGCTGCAGTTCATCAGTTTTGTTGGATAAACTGACTGTGGCCACTTCCCACTCAAACATCGGGCACTTACTTAAAGTAAGAGCATGCAGCCCTTGATGACCTGCTGCAGGGTGGCTGTTAAGCAAGGCTAGGATGCGTGTTTCTTCAGTATTCTGTCTTGAAAGCCTAGAAAGAGATGGCATTTCATGGGGCAGAATTATTTCCTAAATGGATGCATATTGGTTTTTTAAAATATATTTATATTTTGTGCTTTGAATTATGTGGTACCATTTCATATGGGGCGTATTGTCTTTTAACAAAGTGAGTTATGTGTCTTCTCTGTGTATAGGCACAGATATGGGACCAAGGACTGTTGAGATCATCAGGGTAAGTCCGTTGTTTTGCTGTTTTTTTTTTTTTCTAGTTTGTGCCAGGTTTGTGTAAAATGTACATTTTCCCCTGAATACCATTTATTTGATAGTCAGTGTGTTTTTTCAAGTTAGTCGAGTATAGTGTACCTAGGTAACAGAAGGAGACAGGCTCAAAGTACAGTAAAGCTCACAGATGACCGCATGTGTTTGTAAGTGATCAGGTGGAAATCTGTATCTTTTCCTTTTAACTTTGCAGTATAGTCATTCTGGTGAGGATTTTTGGGGGGGGCTTTATAGAGCTTTATTTTTATTGTTTGCATAGTAATCTATCATATGAATTTGCTAAAATTTCCTTAATCAGCTTCTAATTCAATAATTAGTATATTTTTCCATTTTTACTCTTTTATATCCCAACATCTTTCCCATATCATGGCTAATTTCCTTAGGATCAATTCATACAAATAAAATTATCAAGCCAATAGGCATACTAACTTCTAAGGACTTTCACACATATTGTTAAATTGCCCTTTAAAGATTGCAAAATATATACTTCGGTGCTGAAATTTGTGAAAGCTTGATATTCAAACTTCTGTATAGTAGCCAGAATATTACAAAGTAGATTCTTATTTCAGTCACTTTGACCATAAATTAGAGGTTCAAGAAGAAATAAAAAATGGCAACTATCATAACCAACTGTAGTCAGGAGATGGTGAGGAGAGCTTAGCTCTCCGCATTGATGCCTGCCTTCGTCTGCAAGCATCCTGCCTCCCTTGGCTTGAGTGTCTCAGGAACCAGAGCACACAGACCACAGGGCTTGGGATTCGCTCACTGTTCTGGACGCTGGAAGCCCAAAGACAAGAGCTTTGACCTCTCTCCTAGGCTTGCTTTCTCTCCAGGCCTCCCTTGGGCTTTACTCTGCGTTTCTTACCATCCCTGGTGTCTATCCAATGGGCTATCCCCTTGTTTTATAAGAATACTGATCACATTGGATTAGAGCATACCTGATGATCTTCATTTTAAAGGCCCCCTCTCCAGATTCACTCACTACTGAGACATTGGTACCTGGGCCTTCAGCTTCAAGTGACACAGAGAAGGAGAGAGGCAAAGAGAGACAGACAGGCAGGCACATCAGCCATCTGCCACTTCACTCCCCAGTGACTGCAGTGGCCAGGCTGGGCTCAGCTGAAGCCAAGATCCCAGAGCTCCATCTGGGTCTCCCATGGGGGTGGTAGACGCCCAAGTACTTGGGTCATCATCTGTTGCATTCACAAGCACTTTAGCAAGTAGCCGGAACAGAAGTGGAGCAGCTAAGATTCCAACTGCTGTTCCACTATGGAATGCCTAGAACCTAAACAGCAGCTTAACATGCTCTGCCACAGCACCTGCCCCCTCAGGAATCTTAAGACACAATTCAGTTCTCAGCATGACCTCTGTGGTCTTTGGCAAGCACCTTCAACTTCCTTATGTGTGCCAGGAGGGTGGCAACACCATCCCCACGGTAAATCTTGTGTGCACTAGATGAGCTAGCATATGTGCCACACCTTACACAATGTCCAGTGCATCCCAAATGACCAAAAAGTTCTCTCTGCTCTCTTAGCTGCATTGTTGACAGTCTGCCAGAGGGGCAACTCCACTGCTTCCATGATGGGAAAGATATATGTTCCAACAGTGAACGTAATTTCATAAACATTAAGGAAATGTTATCATGATGGATTAAATCAAACCAAATTATTCCATAAGTTTTTCTTCATTGCAGGATTTTTAAAGAAGCATCATTTTCTGTTTCCAGCCATTTCAACCATTTGTTTTTATAATGAAGCCTACTCCTACACAGCCCACCTCTCCCATACATAGTCTCAGCAGAAACTTTTTTCTTAAGATTTATTTATTTTTATTGGAAAAGTAGATTTCCAGAGAGACACAGAGAAAGATTTTCCCTCCACTGGTTCACTCCCCAAGTGCCTACAATGGCCAGAGCTGAAACCAGGAGCCAGGAGCCTCCTGCAGGTCTCCCATGTGGGTGCAGGGTCCCAACGCTTTGGGTCATCTTCCACTGCCTTCTCAGACCGCAAGCAGGGAGCTGGATGGGAAGTAGAACAGCCGAGACACGAACCAGGACCCATATGGGATCCCAGCATGTGCAAGGAAAATGTGTATTATGAAACAAGGAACAGATTCCAAATTATTTTGACATCAAAATAAACATCTGTTAATTCCATTTTCCATAATCTTTTGGAAGCACTCTTGTGTGAGTTTTTGTGTATGATTTCAATCATCAAGGCAGAACACATGCAATAACGTAAGCTTCTCTTGCTTCACATGAAAGAAAAAACATTTTGTGGGGCCCAGCGGCATGGCCTAGTGGCTGAAGTCCTCGCCTTCAACGCTCCTGGATCCCATATGGTCACCGGTTCTAATCCCGGCACCTCTACTTCCCATCCAGCTCCCTGCTTGTGGCCTAGGAAAACAATCAAGGATGGCCCAAAGCTTTGGGACCCTGCACCCGCGTGGGAGACCTGGAGGAAGTTCCTGGCTCCTGCCTCCGGATCCACACAGCACCGGCTGTTGTGCTCACTTGGGGAGTGAATCATCAGACGGAAAATCTTCTTCTTTGTGTCTCCTCTTCTCTGCAAATCTGACTTTGTAACAAAAATAAATAACTTTAAAAAAAAAAAAACATTTTGCTGGTCTGTCTCGTGAGAGTTGGTCTATGGTCTGTTAACGGCCTGGGAAAACAGTTGAGGATGGCCGAAAGCCTTAGGACCCTGTTCCCACATGAGAGGCTGCAATGTGGCCTGGTTTCTGACTCCTAGCCACTGTCTTCAACTCCAGCCACTGAGGTCATTTGGGGATGAATCAGCGGATGAAAGACATTCCTCTGTCTCTCCTCTCTGTGGATCTGCCCTTCCAGTGAAAATAAATAAATCTTGAAAGAAAGAGAAAGACAGGATGAAAAGGGGAGGGAGGGAGGGAAGGAGGAAGGGAGGGAAGGAGGGAGGAAGAAAGGAAGAAAGGAAATGGAGTGGAGGGAAGGAGAGTTAGGTGCAGGCGTTTGGTGTAACAGGAGCACTTGAATGGCCACACCCCGTATCGGAGTGCCTGGTTTGACTCCTGGCTTCAATCCAATCCACCTTCATGTTTATACACATTCCCAAAGTTCTTGGTTCCTTGTTGCCCATGTAGTAGGCCCATATCAAGGTCTAGGCTCCTGGTCTCAACCTGGCCTAGCCCTGGATATTATAGGCATTTAGGGAATAAATCAGTGATAGAAGGTATCTTTCTTTTTCTCTCTCTCTCTCTCCCCTTCTCCCTTCCTCTTTCTCTTTTTCTCCTTCTCCTTCTCTGTTTCAAACAAATAAATGTTTAATAATAATACCTAAGATGAATTCCTTCATGTAACACCTTTGTGATCATTTTGTTTTCTTTTCCTCTTTCACCTTGATGCAGAAGTAACTAACACAGATTAAACTGTGTGTCTTCTTAAGCATCTGTCTGAGCTGTGGAGGCCTTGCCGCCACGTCAGTAACCTTATCACAGCCGCTGCTGACATTTGTGCCTTAGTTGTTCTATGTGTGTGTCCAGATGTTGAGGACCGTCCACAGTCAATGTTGTAATTTCTGCTTTCAGCAGTCTCATATATTCTAAAGAACTGAAGGAGAGCATTGTCATATTTTCCTGTTCCATTGCACAGGGAGGAGTTTAGGATTCCGTCATGGCCCTCATGATGTGACACGCGGGCACTGGGGATGACTAATGTTTGTGCTTCAGCAGTTGGGCAGCCGGTTAGGTCCAGCCTGGAACTCGAGCATGCCCTTGGTGGGCAGATTCTGGTCTCAGATTTGTCCTGGGAGCTCTTGCTGTTCTGGTATGGATCTGCCCCGAGACCATACGAAGCTTAGCCCTGAGCCTGAGAACCTGATGAGTCCCCACTCACAGTTAGAGTCCCCTAAATGCTTGCACTATCCAGGGCTAGGCCAAGTTGAAAGATCCTCACTCAGAGTTAGAGGGTCCACTACAGCCCCTAGGAGCTCCTTTCTAAAATACCTGACCAGAGATATGGAGTGTCAGTGAGCAGCCTGCTCTCATGGAAGGCTGCCAGGAAAGAAACCCCACAACCAGGACACATGCACCTTTTGGAGGATGCAGTTTTTCTGTGCCTTGACTTCTTCATTGTAACCAGAGGGGGAGAGAGAAGGCCGGGGTATACACCCTGTGCCAGAACCAGAACTTGTCATCTGTACCCTATTAGTGATCTTTAAAGTATTAATTCTGGGCCCGGCACGATAGAGTAATGGTTAAAGTCCTCGCCTTGAGTGCACAGGGATCCCAGATAGGCACCAGTTCTAATCTCGGCAGCCCTGCTTCCCATCCAGCTCCCTGCTTGTGGCCTAGGAAAACAATCAAGGATGGCCCAAAGCTTTGGGACCCTGCACCCGCGTGGGAGACCTAGAAGAAGCTCCTGGCTCCTGGCTTCGGATTGGCTCAGACCCATCTGTTGCGGCTGCTTGGGGAGTGAACCATCAGACAGAAGATCTTCCTCTCTGTCTCTCCTCCTCTCTGTATATCTGACTTTCTAATAAAAATAAATAACTTTAAAAAAAGAAAAATATATATTAATTCTGTGATATAAATATGGAGACAAACTGGAGCAGAGCCAGGTCTCCACGTGGCTCCCACTTAGGGAAGATTCTGAACTACAGCTTCTCTCTCTCTCCCAGCTGTTGTCACTGCAATGGGTGTCCTCTGAGGGCCTTCGCTGTGACACAGTTTTGGAGCTCAGTGTGTTGGTTCAACCCACACCAACAAAGCAAGTTTGGCAGTTTAATCACAAGCACACCCAAGAACATGCTTGTTAAGACAGTCTTAAAATTGGACCGCTAAACTGGGCAAAAGCGTGGGTTTTATCATCATCATTATTGTTACTGTTTATTCCTGTTCACCTTTTATTGAGCCATTTCTACAGGCCGGAACGGTGCCATATCATCTCCTTTAGTCCTCAGGCCTACCCTGTGTAGCATGTAGCATTATGTCTATCTTATATGAGGACACGGAGGCTGAAAAAATTTAAATCATGTGTCCACAGCCAATTAGGTATGAGAACTGGAACACAGCTTTCTGACTCTGAAGGCTCCGTGCTTAATTCCCATCTTATCCTGGCCTCCTGCATTACGGGGGAATGTGTTCCACAGCTTCCTGGGGATAATGCAGTGCTTTATTTAACCTATGCGTGTTGTATGTTCTTTCTTTTCCAGGAGCTCAGTGATGCCCTTGGAATCAGCATTGCTGGAGGAAAAGGAAGTCCCTTAGGAGATATCCCGATATTTATTGCCATGATTCAGGCCAATGGAGTGGCCGCTCGGACACAGAAGCTTAAAGTAAACAAAAGCAACTGGCTGAAGTGCTAACAGCATGTGGCGGGGTGGGGAGGAAGTTGCAGCTGGGGGCAACTTGGTTAAAGTTGGAATTCCAGCAGCCACCAGGGACCCACGCTGAGGGCAGAATGCATTAGAGCAACGTTATGCCTGAAATTCATTAGGTCCCTGGGCATATAAAAATATTATTGTTTGTATCAAAGCGTCCAGTAAAAGACGAAATTGCAGCTCCTTTGCAAACCCTCCCAGACCCTTTTTAACACTTCATTCCACCCAAAATTGGTTTTCAACTGAGATTTGACCTTTGAGACTCCCCTCAACCAAAAGAACCAACATTTCATGATTTTTTTTTCATGTTGCCTCTTAATCTTAACTTAGGCAGAAAAATAAAGCAGAAAATATTTGGCTTACTCATTAGAGCTTTATTGAACCGTTAATTTGTATACCCCACTATTACTGGTGAATGGATGTATGAAACACCACCATTAGCACAGTACAAAAGTGACCTGCTGCGCCTTATAATCATGGAGCTCGGGGCCCCTTCTTGTTTCTCTGATGGGTCTGTGTTTGGGGAAAGCCATAAAAATTCCTGGTACCTCTCCCACACTGCATACACAGTAGAAACATAGAATCCTCACAATAGCCACGAATGGGAAATATGACTCACAAAGAATTTTAAGCATTCTTCTGAAATTTAATTTTTCTTAATGATGGTGATTTCTGGCCACTTTTGTGCTTCTAGGTTGGAGATCGGATTGTCAGCATTAATGGGCAACCTCTGGATGGGCTGTCTCACGCAGATGTGGTTAATCTGCTGAAGAACGCCTACGGACGCATTATCCTGCAGGTACGGCCGTCAGTGGACTGCGCAGCTGTGGGAAGCAGATAAGTGGCGTGCAACAAAGATTGAGCATCACTGGCAGTAGGCATCACCGCTCAGTGGGGTGCCCGCTGATGTGAATTATGAAGGTTGAAAGCAAGAAATTATTATTTTTATTCAGGAATTCTTTAATGCCACCCATACAGCCAGCGAGCATGATTATATGAAAGCCTAACAAGGGGAGAAAAATTACTCTTTGCTTCACGTGATAAATCAACAAGGCTTTTAGCTTCCAGCGTTCTTTTGTAAAGCACAGTTTGCAAGGAATAGGAAATGATTTCTTTTCTTATGCCCAAAGACTGTTACTGAACTGCCCAAGTACTGTTTTTCCCACTCTTTTTATAGGGGAAAAAAATACAATGCTCCTTTTTCCCTGTAGCATAAATGATTGCCAACACTGTTAAAGGCTCCTGGTATGGTAGTCACCAATTAAGGCAGACAGTTATTTATCAGCTGTGGTCCCCACGTGGATTTTCCAGGGATATGGAGGAGTGTACCAGGAGGGAAGGCCAAACATGCGTTAACTAACTCACCTTACAGATGGGTACCAAGCAGGGAGAGGGAGGCAACCTCTGGGCACTGACTTTCATTAATGAGTTTCCCCCAAAAGGTGTGATGAGAATCACCATAATGCTCCAGTGGCAGTATGAATCAGCTTTTAGGTAAAAAGAATGAAACCCACCACGTACTGCCTTAGAAGGCTGGCTAATCATTCAGAAATTCAGTTTGAAATGAAAAACCACTACATTTGGAAGAAGCAATTTGTGTCGCTTAGCTAGCATCTCATTGGTCAAAGTCCAAAGTGATACCAAAAAGGTCAGTGGTTTTCAGCATGTATGAACAAAATCGCAGAAATGTTGTCTGTAATTTCAAGGGTGCTTATTTATGCGACATGCCAGATGCTTACTTTGAGTCTCTGAGTTTCTGTTGGATGCAAACCTAAGCTTTGTGTGTCCTGGCCTAGGTTGTACCTCCCCTTAGATCTCATTGGCCTTGATTTCAGTGAAACCCCACGTAGGCAGCCCGTTCCCTCCCCCAAATCCTTGGTAGGGTTGGTCCTCCCTGCGGTACTGACCCACAGGGGCATGAGCACAGCTCCCCTGGTTTTCGTGTAGAACTCCAGGGGACTCGACTGCCTATGGTGGCCAGACAAAAGTCTTCCACTGGTTCAGTCTCATATTGCTGATAGTGTCACTAACTGATCAAATTTGTTCAGCGTCAGTTGATTCACAAGGAACTAGGAAGACACAATGGAAAGGTGTAGCAGCAGCTAAATTGAAGATGTATCTCAAATAAAAGTGACCTCATATTCGTCCACACAGAACTATTACAGCTAGATTGCGGTTGGTGTGGTGGGACAGCAGATTTAAGTCACCACTTAGGATACCTGCATCCCGTATCAGAATGACCAGTTCATGATTGCATCACACATCTGGCCTGCCTGCCACTAATGCACCTGCGAGGCAGTGGATTGGCCTAAGTATTTATGTTCCTGTTACCCGCTTGCAAGACCTAGACGGTATTCCTGGGTCCTGGCTTTGGCCTTACTATTGTAAGCATTTGGGGAGTGAACCAGCAGTTAGAAGGTCTCTCCATCTCTCTCTCTGTCACTCTGCCCTTGAATTGCATAAATAAATTCTATTTTAAAAGTTGCTATCTCAAAAAAAAAAAAAGTTGCTATCTCGGGGTGATATTCTGCCAGCTCTGCTTTCAGACCAGAGATGGTCTCCCCAAGAAACTGTTGAATTGATCTGGACAATAAGATGCTGGGCTCTATGCTTGGTATATACTTGCAATGAAAGAATCATGACTGGATTTGAACTGTAATACTGCAATAAGGTGGAGTAATCCACCATGGGGGAAGGACACGGGGAGGGGTTGAGGGAACCGCAGAGCCTATGAAACTGTGTCATAAAATAAAATGTTAGAAAAAATTTTTTTAGAAAAAAATGTTGCTATCTCAAAAAAAAAAACCAAATAACTAAAAGAAAATTTTAAAAGCAATAAATACATAAATATTGAAAAAAAAAAAAAAGCTGCTAACTGTAGGCATAACGAGAAGGTATAAAGGTCTCCCTTGAAGTCTGATAGTGTGCTTGGGTTTTGAAGCAGGTAAAAGAGCTCTCATCTAAAGGTTCGCTCCGCTCCAGATTCTCAGGAGACACTGCTAGGCCAGGGAAGGAGCCAGGAGACTAGAACTGCACCTGGGTCTTTCCTGGGGCTGGCAGGAGCCCAGTGACTTGAGCTGTCATGACTGTGTTCCAGAATCTACACTGGTGGGAAGCTGTGGTCCCAACCCAAAGGCAGGCACCCAGCCCTGGCACTGCTACGTGCAGCAGGCATCTGAATGCCCTCTCTCGGGTTTTATTGCCTAGTATTGATTGGTCAGCTGAGATGAATTTGTCTGTAAGGGATCATCTAAATGTTCCCAATTACATTTGTTTCTGCAGTTTGATAGTTTGCCTGGCTCAGCTCTTTCTGTCTGTGGCATTATTCCAAAACATTTTGGCCCAAGCTAGATCATTCAATTGCTGCTAGAAATTTTTGTTTCTGCTTTCACATCTTTCTTTGAAGACAGAAGATAAAAAGAATGTATCTGGAGTTTTTAGTCACTAACAGGTACTTACGGGGTTCATTCTCAGTCCAGTAAGAAATTTTTCCAAATATTTTAAAAGTTCTGGAAGTGAGCAGATTGAGGAAGGTCAGGCATAGAGGAGGAGTGTGTTGGGAAAGAAGCCTGGTTTGAGACATCCTTGAGGTGGTGCCCAGCCAGGGGGGTTAACATACTGTAAAATAAAGCCCCTGGAGGCTTTGGCAGGGTGGACATCCATGTCACCTGGCACGTGACCCTGGGTGGATCCTGTGGCACAGTGAGTTAAACCATTGCCCACAATGCTTGTATCTCATATGAATGCCAATTCGAGTACCGAGAAATGGATGGCTTACCGGATTTAGGAATGAAAAGGTGTGTGTGTGAGCCCAGCTGAGCACACGTCCAAGGCACCTCTGGGTGTGATCAGGTCATAAGGGATGCTGCACCAGGAACCCACTAGGTTCAGGCGGGTTGCTGCATTGCCCTGGGTTGCAGGGTCAGAACAGTGACCGAATAGCAAGAGGGCATGGCCACGAGGGGGAGAGCAGTGGGGGTAGAAACATAGGGCAAATTCGTGAAAAAAGTAGGCTCTGATGTGACAAAGTCACTGAATTTGAATCCTTTTCCCCAAACCCTGCCTTCAGTTTCCACCAAAACAGACTGCAGTTCCTTTCTTACAAGGTTGCTCTGATGACTGAATGCGATGTAATGTAAAGTAACAAGCACCCTGTGTGCATATGCTAAATGCAGTCCTATTACCAGCAAGAATTCCTTTTAACAGGAATTAAGCAGGATGCTTTTCCTAGGCGGTCATGGAGGTGTGTTCCGCTAGGGAGCAATATGGGGCTCAGGTTGCCGGTTTCCTGTTTTACTCCCAATCTTTGACATAAGACCTGCCCCATAAGACCTGGGGTCACACGGGCCAGTAACCTAGCAGCTTAAGTCCTCGCCTTGCAAGCATCCAGATCCCAACGGGCGCTGGTTCTAATCCCGGCAGCCACACTTCCCATCCAGCTCTCTGCTGTGGTCTAAGAAAGCAGTAGAGGACAGCCCAAAGCCGTGGGACCCTGCACCCATCTGGGAGACCCGGAAAACAGGCTCCGGGCTCCTGGCTTGGGATCGGCTTAGTTCTGCTCCGGCTGTTGCGGCTCCTTGGGGAGAGAGGGTGGTTAACAGCTCCTTGGGGAGAGAGGGTGGTTAATCATCAGACGGAAGGTTTTTCTGTCTCTCCTGTGTGTATCAGACTCCTCCCCTCACCCCCAGTCAATATATTCTGATTTCACTAAGGGCTGCCAAAGGCCTGGCATGGGCCTTGCACGGTTCTGTGATGTTCCCCCACTTCAGGATGCCAACTTTTGGGGCTCATCTTCATGAAAAGCTCTCCTGCCTGCTTCTAGCATTTTTGTCCTGTGAGCCTAAGATCCCTGATAAGTGAGTTTTATGTTTCAGACTTACAGACTTAGGTCCCAACAGATGAGAAGGCAGTCCAAGCAAGGAGTTGCACGGTTTTGTGTTGTTAATATCCCACTTATCTGGAAATGAGTTCCACGTTTCAATTCTCCAAAACTTCAGCCTCCCCAATCCCCAGCCACCCGTCCTAAACCTGTTTCTGGGGACAAGTCCTCTTTCTCCGGCTCACGCAATAAAGACTTCAGCCTTGTTGCTGAAGCAGAAAAATTTATTAAACAGACAGTGTTCTACCATGAAACATAAAAGTGCAACGGAGCATGATTTTGTTCCGAACTTAAGATATTCACAGCGCAAGGGGCCAAAATACAGGATGGCGTCACTGAAAACATTCTGGAAGGAAACATACTCAGACAGTGTTCAGGGAGGCGAGGAGCGGGGGGAACCCGTTCTCGAAGGAAAAGCAGTTAGGAGGGCTTTCATCTTGAGGAGGGGACGCGGAGCCCGCGTCCGGCGCCGTCAGGGGCGGAAACACGGCCTCGGGGTCACACGGGCCGGGCGGCGGGAACACGGACTGCGCCGTGGGCACCGTGGGCGGCGGGAACACCGCATTCGGGGCCAGAGCGCGCAGAGGCGGGAACTCGGACTCCGGGGGAAACATGCGGATGGGCTCCTCGCCCTCGGCCAGGAGAAAGCCTTCTGGCTGCTCGTCAGGCCCCGGGAACCTGGTGACTTCCCCAGCCAGCACCTCGCCAGCTTCCCCTGGCTCCGACTGTGGGAACTCCTCCTGCGCGTCTCCAGCCTCTTCCTCCATGGGCAGGGGGCTGTCCTCGGCCTCCCCCGACGCGTCCTCCTTCGCCTCTGTCGTGGTGATGGCCGCTCGCTCGTCCTCCGCCTCCATGGCGTCCCACCACTGCCCTGAGCGTTGGGACTCCTCCTCCTCCTGCAGGCCAGACAGTTGGGGAGA